GCTGACAGTTTCATACAATTCAAGCTTTTTTTACATCCTCATTAGGTGCTGTCACAGCCCTACTTAATAGTGAAGCTGACAGTTTCATACAATTCAAGCTTTTTAAACATCCTCATTAGGTGCTGTCATAGCCCTACTTAATAGTGAAGCTGACAGTTTCATACAATTCAAGCTTTTTAAACATCCTCATTAGGTGCTGGCATCCTCATTAGGTGCTGTCACAGCCCCTTTAAAAGTGAAGCCAACAGTTTTAGACAAACTCTCTTTTACATCCTTACCACTCACAACTCCAGCCACACTAGACTCTGCTTCCAAAGAGATAGACAGGATTCTACAACGCATTGAGCAGGACAACAGACTACTGGCTGAACTAGATAAAACAAAAGGAGCATTCTGTAAGTACTACAAACTGTCAAAAGCATAAGAGAAAATATAAATAGTAAATGTTCAAGGTTATGATTGATTTATTGTCATGTTTTAGACTAGTACTCTAAAGAGACCACCTAAAGTTACATTAGGTTTAGATAAGATCATACTATTATTACTTAGTTTGAATGTGAAACTTTTGACATTGAAAAATAAAGAAAATATAATGTTTCGTTCTAAAATATGAAAGTTTGAAACAGTGTTAAGTTCTCTCTGGCCCTCTTACAAGAGATATTAACCCTTTTGCCGTGACTTTCAGATATAGCTGGACAAACATTTATATCTGGTGACTACAGAATTCGGATTTATCCAACGGCTACCAAAAATGTTTCCTTGTACTGCGACACTTCATGTGTGTCAGCATCGGGATCTAGATGCTTTTAAAAATATATATACTGCAATGAGCAGGAACATACCTGCATACTAGAAACAACCGATATACTGTGCAGTGAAAAGTTAAGAAATACTTCTTCTGTTATTGTTTTGGCCAGGGATAGTGTTAGCAGGAAGGCAAAGTTAATATTCTTTCTCTAGCAGTCATAAAGAAACATACAATGTTATAAGTTATCCTATTTTATGCAGTTTAAAGTGCTGGTGTATATCCCCATCTGTGTCTTCTCAGCTATATCACTAACTAACAAGTAATATCCAATGTTTGAATTATCACTCCATTCAGAGACCCTATAATCCCTCCTCCTCCTCCTCTTCCAACATGCAGTGAGACCCTAGAGCTTGGCTTTGGCTAGTCCCTCTAGTTTGGAGGTTGGCCAGTTTTGTTATTTCCCTAAACCATTTTTATTACAAATATCTATTTAACATATAGAATTAAAAGGATCTGCTTTGTGAATCATATTTTATGTAGTTTTATAAATGTTTATATAATATGTATAAAAATATTTTTCATTTGTTAAAAAAAGCACTGTTTAATTTGTAGAGTTAAAAGTTCTGTTCTAACTGTAGAAGACCATTTTTAATATCTTCACATTAAGAGCTTTTACATTTTGCTCTCACTTATTAAATTCAGATGAGCAATAATGTTGTTGAATAGCTAGATTTGTTCCAGATTAAATTCTGAGTAAGTTTAGCATATTTGAGAGTCAAATAATAACTGTGATAGTCATAAAACAAATTTGTTACATCAGCTTCATCTGTCCCGGGTTCTCCGATTTTCTCTGAATCTGCCGAGAGGTTGAGAGCTGCTGCTGAAGGAGAAACACGACTGAAGGAAGAGATTACTTACCTCACTTCTAGGTTAAGTAAGTACAAGAAAGAGGACGTATCTATTAAGTACAAGAAAGAGGACGTATATATTAAGTACAAGAAAGAGGACGTATCTATTAAGTACAAGAAAGAGGACGTATCTATTAAGTACAAGAAAGAGGACGTATATATTAAGTACAAGAAAGAGGACGTATATATTAAGTACAAGAAAGAGGACGTATCTATTAAGTACAAGAAAGAGAACGTATCTATTAAGTACAAGAA